CCGGCGCGAAAACGACAGTGACGAGGACGACGACGAGGACGGAGCGAATGACCGTTTGTGGAAACGTTTTTCAACACCGCCAATCAAACGTCTGAATGACAAGGATGTGGACGATGAGGAAAAAAACTAAAAAGCCCTTCACTTCTGACAGCCTTGTGCATTTATGGACAAGCGCGTTATTCGTGTCTTGACGATAAAGTGCCATCGGTGCCGAAATCGAACTTTCACACATGGCTAATTGCTATTGTTTGCCAGATGTCTTTCGCACATTTGGAAAGCACCTGTCCTTGAAGTCAGGGCTGTTCGGGATCATCGCCTAACCTAAGGCCTTCGAGACTGCTAGACGGCGGCCAGCAAAAGAGGCATCCTGATAGTTGGTTATGACAACTTTCAGGCTTCTACAGCAATTCAGTAGGGTGACTTTAAAGTTAAGGTTTCAGCGGACAGATCACAGTCGATTCCAATCAATGCCAATAACGCATAACTGAAAATTTGCCAGATTTTGTCACTTTTCCGTTTTAGAACGGTGTCAGTTTCGCATCTGATAATCAGCAAAACACCATTATCCTGAATTGTCAATGACACAGACAAATGCAGTTAGTATTACTGTCGACATGAATTGAATACATACAACTCTCAAAGCCAATTTACTTCATGTTTTGTATCCACTCAATCCATTGTTAGGGCTGTATGACATGAGCATAAAGGATATCAATTCGCCGCAGTGCGAAGAAAGCACTGATGCAAATAATCTGTGAACAAATAAACCGGTTGTGAACTCGTTTGATGGACTATTGCTAACGTATTTTTTATTAAGGTTTTTTAAGTTTCAATTTTAACAAGGGTCTACTGTATTTTTGAGGCTACTGCTTATGGCCAATGCATTGAAGAAAATTCACCACTTTATTCACCACAGCATGCCACTTAATTCTAGTCTTTGCTTATGCACAGTATACAGTACGTCGCGTTCTTTGTTCATGAGTACTATGTTACGTCCTAGGCGTCATAAGAGCTGTAGTGATATATTTAATGATGATTGTTTACTGTTTTTGCATTGTATCTTGAATAAATGATTATTCGAAAGCATAGTAACTCCATACTTAATAACAGTAATGAACTAATAATTAATTTGTTGAAAGTGCTGGAAGTATACAGGGTAGATGACCCACTTTATGTACATGTGACGAACGCGATTCCATGTTGGAAGAGACCTATATCTCTAGTGATAATCCAGATCAGAAGAAGCATCGTTCAGGGAATCAGTTGTCGGTCATACTCCTTCGGTTCTGCTTGGCAACCCCTTAGTTTAATGTTACACAAATCAATACATGTCTAAGTCATCGAAAAGACGAACAATAAAAGGCAATCCTCCCCATGCATTCTAAATGGGCTACTTGTCACCGCAGACAAGAAGCAGAGAAAGACTGGAACGTATGCTCCAAACGGTATCCAGCTTCAGCTAGTCGATGGGAATGGAATTGGATTTAAGCAAATGTGCAGTTATTGATGCAATGCATGGGAAGCCACTGCAAACAGAAAGCATGTATTTTGAGGACAGAGCGGAAATTCAACAACGACACAAGTCGTAAATATCTCGGATTGCAGAACCTTTTCGGACTGAATGTAAGCAAGTGAAAGAAACGGTGATTGAAACGTTAAAAAAGCACCTGACATTGACGATGAAACCGCCCCTGCCTTCCATAAATTAGACAAAGCTGTCAATGTCTGGGCAATGCCTGTATTATGTCATACTTTTGGCATTCTAAAAATGTGCCAGATCCCCATCGTGGTTGTGACTGAAAGGTCAAGATTACATTCACGGATTCATACATGCGCCCAGCATGAAATCGATCGATGGAAGCACAGAGGCCACGGTTTGCTGAAACGTTACCAATTTCTGAGTAGAAGAAAATATGTCCTTCACGCAAACTTTCTGTATAAGGATCCACGCTTACGTAGATGCGACAGATGGCAGGAGTAGACAAAAAATATCCACCGTTTAACCTATGTGAGATCTCGTGGTAGTTGTTCCCTTCAAGCGAATAGAATCATATGAATATGTCAATGAAAAGACATGTAAAGCGATCTATATTGATACATCCATATCAAAGGCAAAGCAATGGCACATCAGAACAAGATGGCCAAATTCTATGGACACACGATATTGTAAAGCCTCAAATTCCAGATTGTAGGATTTGGCCATTTCAAAATAGCTAAGGCCATTTGAAAGCTTCCATTTCAGGTACCTCCGCGATTCGACAGGAGAGGACGTTACAAATGAGCGAATATCTTTAATTTCTAACAGAAGACAAATGATTGATAAATGACTTAATTCTTTTGGCACAAATGTCAATAGACATCTGACGCTGCACTTACGTCAGAGATGCAGTCAGAGGGTCGATCGCTTCCATAGATTTGACTTAAATGGCTTAGGCCGTTAATGAAAGACCGCATGATGAAAAGTAGCAGAGTAAATCTGAACTGATTGCGATTCGTTGCTGACAAATGTTTTATTGGTCCAGCTTCAGGGCTCGCGACAGGCGTTCAATGTTACCGAAATACTCACAAGAATAGGAACCCGATCGATCGTGCTTCTTTGTAATATGTGAACGGAAATTTTTGTCCTTCACATGAATGTAATGCTCACTTTATGGAAATCTTCCCTGTTCATATCGATCAGTAACGTTTACCAGAGCTTGAAAATTTGAATATTAAAGTTTCACCAACTCTTCGTTAATTTGATGCAATTACACATGGTCCAGTTGCAGACTTTCTTTGAAAATGTTTATAAAAATGTTTTGATTTCTAACATATGACATCGTTATTCATCTTCATAAAACACTTCTAAAAAATGCTTATTCATTTTCAGCCCTCGGCCAGTGCAATGAAAGTGGGTTTCATGCGTGAGCAGTTACCAGGCATTTTACATTGATGAAGCAATGGGAGGCTTTGTATAAAATTAGACAAACTCTTCTTTGTCAAGCTCTGAAAGTATGGTAGATGTTGTTTCATGTGAAAATTTCTCAAGTTTTTATTTTAACGCTCAGATGCTATGACGAAGAATGCAAAGGGCCAAAGTGCTTTTCCTAAAGCTGAAGAAACTCGGTCTGTGAAAGCTAGAACTTGTTAAGGCTTGTCTGCTATAGGAATCCTTTATGCCTAAGTTTTGCAGCAGCAACTTTTTGACCACCAATTGCATTTTTATGTTTATTAATTAATGCGTGCATGCAACTTCTGGCATGTGTATTTCAATTGATGTATTTTCAAGCCACAAAAAATAGTATTAAAAGATAATTGAGATGAGTAAAAACCATTGATGTTAACCCTCGTTAGCGTTTAATTCAACTTAAAACTGGGAAAATGGAAAATACGATTTTTTGGGGTTTCGGCCTTTCAACAATTAAAGAATAATCTGGAATTTTGCGCTGATCTTTCATATCAACTGTGCAGCGACCCAAATCTTTGTTTCGATGCCATTAACCAGAACTATGGAGGTCACGAAGGCAATATCTGTAACCATGCTACGAGTTCAGAGCTTAAGTCGTTGTTTAAATGCGGAAGTTTCAACTAAACGAGTTCAATATTGAGTTTATGGGAAATTAGGCGTTGGAATCGGCTGTCTTTTTTTGTGAACATGCTTGATGCTTAGTAGTGACTACATGGAGTAGCTAATATACGTCCTACATATATGTGTATGGAAGAAATAGTAAACCTGACCTAAGCCATGTTTGGTCCGCGGTATGAGTAGAGAACAGACAACAACCGTCATATTATCCGCTATCTGATATCCGACTTATACTCGTCATGTGTCATGAATGCAAGCAGACTCTCCTCCAACATTCTCAACTTTCCGCTCTCTGCTTCCACCGTTTACAAAACAGTTTAACCCTCTGGTCATGCCACCATGTTCATTGAGTGCCAACGTGACGTTGGTGGTCCATCAGAACGCAATTTGTAATTCTTGACGTCATATTTGCCAATCGCTTGATTACGGTAGAAGACCGTCTTGCAGCACCGTGGATCATGACCCGCAGCACTGTTCAATCAAACAGATTCTTGTCCAAATTTACCGCTCAATTTCGAGTTATGTTTCAATACGATTAAAACTGGATCATGCCGTTTTCCTTCTTCTGCTGATTTTTACTCTGACGAGATCACGCCTTTTGTTCTACGGCCGAGGTATACGCATCTGTTGACTTTCTGCAATTTCCTGTCATTCGAGGGAGCAGTGCCCTCACGATAGTGCTTGTTCCGTATCCATTTCGCCGTTTGGAGGTTCACCCACAACTCCATAGTGCAAGATTCTTCGTGCAACTGCTGGATCTTCTGTTGGAGCTCCGTCGTGTCTTGTGCGATCATGATGCAGTCCTCCACATGCAATAGCTACGTCATCTGCTATGCATGAATATAGAAGCCGTTGCGCAGATTTAGTCTGCTGAATAGTGGCTCCAAGGCCGCGGTCTCCTCGACGCATGTCTAGACATATCGTGATGCATCATAGTTCGCTGAACATGCTGCTAGCATTTGCGTAACCAGTGATCAATTTTTCACCAGGTATTTCTGGCACATAACATTTGTCCATTAGTTTCCCTCCCTCATGTTACATAACCGTGACTGAGAACTGTCATCACGGCGTCTGATTACTAGGCATGGCCGTAGGGCAGATGACTACATTGTAGACAGCAGACCAAATGGCAGTATTTTACTGAGTACGTGGCATCGTGTGATGCAGCCTGGTGGATGGTAGATGGGGAGAAGTCAGTCATTAGAGAAAGCTCCTGAAATATGCTGTGAAATTAAATCAATGAATAAACGAGATGATCTGATCTATAAGAGGGCATTCTGCGTTTTACACCTGGCGAAAAAATCCTTTGCATGCATATGCGCACCTCAGCAGCGTTTGTGGGGTTGATTACATGATAATAGGTGGTTCGTGACCGATTGTTCTGAATTTGGAAGTCGCTCGATAATCTTAGTGGAAGTCAAGCATCGGTTACGACTACAAGCCACGTCCATCTCTTTGTACTCACATGGTCATGCTGCACAGACTGAGAAAGGAAACTGGTTGATCTCCAGTGGAAATGTCGCTTTATTCATCAGCCTACGAGTTATAACTTTAGTACTCACACGAGGATATTACCAGCAGTAGTTTGAGAGTTGCGGAATGATGGGCCTTTGTGGCACCGTGGTAACACGTCGGCTTCGAAATCGAAAGGCACAGGGTTCGAATCCTCAAAAATGTATATTAACCACTAATTTCTCTACGCAAAGAATTCACCCTGCGTTTTGGCGCGACCATCTGAGGAATGGGTTTCAAGTGGCTCACTTACAAACAAACAGGATAGCGTCATGTTCTAAAGTAGTAGTACCAAGACAAACAATGGGTTGCCAAGGCAAGGCTATCTGATGCAAGTGCCCCCTTTGGGCTGCCGTGTTTCTCGAGCCACCTGATAGTTGAATATTCAGTGTGATAATCAGCATGAGGTGTATCCCCTGTTGATCATAGAGAAAGTTGACCGGGCAACCGCGACGCTTGTTACGAACTAAAAGCTCATGGCTCGTACAGCTTCACACAGTCGAACATACAGAAGTTTATCGAACTACGTGCATTCCCAGGAAGACCTGAACGAATTTCGAGTTTTTCAATGAACATCCTCAAAATTAGTAATGGATTTGGTCATTATTTGCAATGAATTAGTAATGGAATAAACGGAGCATTTGGCCACTGTCATTGGACTTGAAGCGTTAACTCATAGCTCTTTTCTTGTTGTATCGCATGCCTGCTCAACTTCGGCTAAAGTTTGTCAGACATAGAGCTTTATTGATTATAACGTTGTCTTTCGATGTTGTAGGAGTTAAAGACAGATTAAGCTGCTGCAATTACGAACCCATGTTTGCGATATCTTGTTCAGCACTAGCTCCTGAAATGGTAACGCGATAAGCATTGGTTTAACCTCGTGCTTCCCAAACCTTTTGAATCGTGACCCTAAGGGACAACATGTATACCTTTAATTTAATAATTTATTTTCATAGTCCTTACTGTTGATTAACTGCATTGAATTACCTTAAATGACTAGGACAAAACGAGTACGCAAAACGTAACTCCGATATCCCAGCGTT